ACATTATTAATCAGTTAAATATTTACTGGAACAGGCCAAACCCAACTGAAGACGGTAGAAGATTCTAAACCTCCAACCTAAACTAGATTAAATTTACGACCGTGAGGCCCGAGGGGCCTTCATCAGATCCAGAGCTCAGCGGACGGAGGAGGGAGGAAAACATTCAGCCTATTTCTGTGGTCTTGAGATAAGGAGAAAGGAAAGAAATAACATCAGATCCTTGATGATTAACGAGAATAAAGTCACAGATTAAAATTGATCTCTACAGAAATCTTTAAATTCTGTAGCCAGCTCTATAGCTCTAAGTTCTCTCACATGGACTGGGAATTTTTTTTTTCTTGAAACAGTCAAACATATTCCCAAAGTGGAGGACGGCCTCCAACAAACACGTGATAATCTGATAACAATTAGAGAAGTTGATGCAGTGATTGGTCGTCTCTCTCTTAACAAAGCCCCAGGATCTGATGGTCTCACAGGAGACTTTACAGACACTTTTGGACAGATTTATAAGACCTGCTGCTACAAGTTTTACTGAAATATTTGAAACCTGTGTGCTTCCACCAACAATGAGACATGGAGCTATCGTCTCAATTCCACAACCTGGGAAAGATCCCAGAATCATAGATAACATAAGAGCCATTACACTTAGAAATTCAGACTACAAACTTCTAACTTACATCAAGTCTCGTCTCCAAACAGGGATTTCAGATCTAATTGCAGATACACAGTCAGGATTCTTAAAGGGAAGATCAATCTTTATTAGATTGGTAATAGACATTATTTAATATAGAGACCAAATAGAAGATGATGGTTTCCTTCTTTTTCTAGACTTCTACAAAGTGTTTGACTCCATGGAGCATCCATTATTCTTTCCACTCTCAAACACTTTGGATTCAGAGTCAAGTTTAGAGGATTTATCAGTGGACTGTGTGGAGATATTATCAGTTGTGCCCCGTGGCACCAGCCCAGCTTCAAGGTTAATGTGGGGATTCCTCAGGGCTGCCTCATCTTAGCAATGCTAGCTATCTATATTAAGGATATTAAAAAACTAAGCCTTGGGCTTAACATTAAACCTTAAAAGTGTGAATTGCTGGCTGCACATGAGACGCCACTGAAAGACATTCGTAATATCCCTGTTAAATATCTGGGGATCCACTTATCCAGAGACCAAAAACGAACGGATCTATCTAAGATGAATGTTTATCAAGATCTATCTACCCGGCCTATTCCAATGTGATCCCAAACAGATTAATTTAATCTATTAACCAAATCAACCTAAACTTCATTTGGAGAAACAGACGACATTCTATGAAGAAAAGCAGTTTGGTTAAAGATTCAAAGGACGGAGGTCTCAAAGTTATTGATTTTTCTGCCTAAATGGGACCATGAAAGTAAACTGGCTAAAATCTTGGATCAAAAACAACGACTTATTTTGGTTTTCTATTCCAAGGACCTTGTTCAAGAAAATTGGAGGATTGGAATTTCTTCTGAGAGCGAACTTTAATGTAGACAAACTGCCAATAACAGTCAGAGTTTCACAAACAAACCCTCCTGAACTGGAAAATGTTATCTGTGCAGAACTCCTCACCCTGTTCTCTGATATAACAGATATAATCTGCACCGCATCAAATCTGGTAATGGAGAAATATACGGTCCATAGCAGATTTAATGGATACCAACCAAGCTTTTATAAATATGAACAATTTTGCATTAAACATAATTTCCAACCTTTAGAGTCAGACTTTAATAAATTACATAGAGCACTACCCCAAGAATTTGTTTTTTTAACCAAAAATACTTTGGCATATCATCCAATTCACCCACAATTAGCTGCTCTGTCAATTCAAGGGATTAACATTATGGATAGGAAATGCACTAAACATTTTATCAGAAACTGTTTTAATAAATGCCTTTACTCTGAAAGACTAAAGAAAAATAACATCCTACAGAAATTTGATAAAAGCTCAAAAATTAAACTAAGAATAATGTATATAACACTTCCTATACCCAGAGGCGTAGCTAGAACCTTTTTATAAGGGTGGCCAGGCAGTAACCAATGTACACTGAGGGGTGGCTGAAATTGGATAGGCGCCAGAACCTCATGGTCAAGCCAAAGATAAGACTAACTGTACTTTCCCACAGCCTTTGCTAACAAATAGACACATATATCTAAACATCCGTACTTTCTAGATAAAAGGTATATTGGATACAGCACTTTCAGGTTTTTGTTCTGGGTTGAACATCTTTTCCATTGTCATTACTTACCTACTTTTATCGATAATCATTCTGCATAAAATTGCTATTTACAAGTAATATTATCTACATAAATGTATTATTTTATACATTTTTATTAAAATAGTTATTTATCTATGAGTTCACTGAAGACTCCCAGATGACTTGCAGATGCACATCATTTTCTCTTTACCCCATATAACACAAAATCTAGTTCTGAAAATAGCATGAATTCTGTACTTATCATCTTTAATGTTAGTATATTGATGTGTATAATTAACCACAGTGTTTTTGTTGTCAAGAAATTATGAATACATGAAAAAATTCCACTTGAGACTATAAATGCTTCCACCATCTTTATTAGAGGGGGGGAAATGGTAGGGTTGGCCACGGGGGTGGCCAACGATTGGCTAAGGGTGGCCATGGCCACCCCTGGCCCCCCATCTAGCTCCGTCCCTGCCTATACCCCCAATATAATGAACATTTACGCCTCTAAAGAATTATTCTAGACTTTGCTTCGGTATAGATGATAACACATTTACGTTCTGTGAAAACGACATGGAAACTATGGACCATGTGTTCTTCTCATGTTCAGTGGTGCAAACATTTTGGAGTGATTTGCATAGATGGAATAAACAACAGCAATCTTCATTCCCAACCGTTATCTCCAGGGATGATGTCACTTTTGGTCTAATATTGCAAAGTCAGGCTGTTGAACTCTGCAATAATACGATTGTTTGTCTAGCTACATTTTTCATTCATAAATGTAGAATTGTTAAATCATCTCCCAAACTTGTTGTTTTTTTAAACAAATTTAAGCTTTATTTAAAATCTTTAGATTTTAAAAAGTCCTAATGCACCAAAAATATATGATATCCTAAAACACTTCCTAACAGAAGTAAACAGCTAAACAAAGTTCAAATCTCCCCTCATGTAAATTTTTTAAAATAATTTCATTTGTATAATTTTTTTTTTATATAATTATTTGTATAATTTTCTATTTGTTTATTTATTTGTTGTTTTATTTTTGTCTTTGAATGTTTATGTTATAGCAAGTCTACATTATGGATATATTTCATATTTGTATGAAGAGATGCTCCCCTGGATATAGTTTCTATGTAACCTGACTTGAAGTAACGGACTCTATGCAGCCATGTTTGTTTGTAAAATTTTTATATTATCAATAAAGAAAAAAAAATTATAATAAAAAAAAAAGTTCTTCATATCAGCTGACTTCCTGTAAATGAGGATGGAGGAGCGGAGGTAAAAACCAGGAAACACTCGCTCTGAAGATAAGGTGGATTAAAACCGCTTTCCGTCAGAAATTAAAGGTAAAATCACATTTTAAACTAACTTTACTCAGATAGTTTTTCTCTCTGTGAGGAGAAAGACATTAACTCTGATCCTCTGATTGGTTCTCTGCGCACACCGAGGGTTACTTTCTCTCTGCTGCTGTCAGCAGCAATAAATCTCTTTATGTCGTCATGAGGTGAGCCGAGGCTACGAGGCGTGATTCATTTAGAGGAGGGGCCAAAATTGACGACGCGAGGCCTCCCTACCGTGATACCACGTGACCGCTACGGGAAGTGGTTCAGGAAGCGCAAGAATTTTGAAACAGCCTCAATATTCAGTAGCGATGTGAGACTTTGGAAGAGCTGCTGTCAGCTGGATAAAGTTTGGATAGATTCTAAGAATAGATTGGTTGGAAAAAAACAACCAATCTAGTTGTTTAAAACTATTTTGGAGAGAATAAACAATGTAATGATCAAAATATGAGCAAGTCATTGGACACAGTTAGTGTGAGGACATCAGCATTAAGAAGTATTTTCTCTGTTTTATGGTTATCCACATTAGTGGCATCATTTGTAAGACACAGGTTCTCATTATAGAGGTTGATGGTTCAATACCTGCCTTTGACTTTTGAAAGTTGCGATTATACTTAATTATTTTGGCTAATGAGACTAATTTGCATTGTTTTGCCCGAGTAAAAATATAGACTGAGTAAAAACGCTGCCAAATTAGGTCGGTTTGGCCAAAGGATTGTTGGAACACAACTTCCGATTGAATAAAACCAAAAAATTTGGAAAAACTATCATGTTTGAATAAAAATGACTGACACCTGTCATTTTGCTCATCATTGCCCAATTTGATCAAACACTTTCACTGCCTGCTTGAGTTTATTTGACTAAAATGGCAGAAAAACTGCACCCTAAATGATTGTTCTAAGAAATTTTACACATAAAAAAAATTACAAGTAGTTTTGTGCATACAATAAAAAAAAAATCATTCTCTAGGTCTGTTAGACATATTAGGTGTCAAAAACAAACATTGCATCTCTGTTTGACGAGGATTTGAAAGAATTATCTGCATTAATTCATAGAAAATGTAATATTTATAGGGAGAGACTACATACATATTCAGAAATGAGTTCTAAATTTTCACCAGACCATCCATTTCATGCATATACGACCTTATACATCCTCACATTAGCAGCATTATACAGACTCCTTTAACAGATACTTAACAGAAATTGATAACAGTGAGGAAACATTAATGTGTGTGATAACGGCATTATAGAAAATGAAACTGCAGTCAAACAGCACCGGTCCCATAGAATGGCTTCAGCCTGTGCCTCCTCTCACTTCTTGTACCAGTAGGTTTTTAATATCCCGCTTCAGCTGCCTCTAAAACCGTAAGTTTTATTTATTTACCTACTTTAGAGTTCTTATCTACTTTATTTATCAAGTACATACTTAAAAAAAACTGTGACCCACAGACCCAGAACATGAGTCCAGTTTGAACCTGAAAGGGTTCCAGGCACAGTTTTTGCTCTAATTTCCTTCATAAAGCCAGAACTTCTCCAGAAGGTTCTGAGGAGATGACCCATCAGACATCAGGAGGTGGGTGAAGGAGTGAACAATTCAGACCATGATGGTTCCTGCTGGAATCAGGTTCCTCTGGTCCTTTACACACATGATGGGATTCAGCTTTCCATTTTACAGGACACTAACTGGACCTGACCCACTGGGAACTGACTGGTACTGGTTTCTCTCTCAGACTGACTGAAGTCCAGAAGATGGAAGATTGGGATCTAAAGGAGGACAGAGCGGAATCTCCAGGATCCAGCTGTCCTTCTATGAGGAGTGACCACTCCAAAGGAATCGATCCAGATTTCAGTGAAGAACCGGGACCCTTTGACATAAAGTAAGGAAATCCGTTTCTAACTGAACAATGTGAATCCATAGAGATAGAATCTATAGAATCTAAACTTATTAATCTTCAGCCTCTTAATCTAAAGTCCTTTAGGTCTTCTTTCAGCTAGAAGCTAAATTAACATAAAGGATGTCAGTCAGTAAATCAGAATAGTTTAAATGAAGGCCTGATAATAAATGATGGAGGAATACAGGACCGACCATGAATCTGAGGAACAGGCAGGTTCAAAGACAGTCTCTAAAGGTTCTGTTCTGTAATGACGGCCGCATCAGCTCCTCAGAGAAGACCAACAGCTTTGGTTCTGATATCAGGGAGCAGAAC